TAACTTCTAATATTACTTATTAGAGTAACCTAGAAGCTTATAAGAGGAATAGAAGTACCTAGTAGTATTAGGTTTTATTATATTATAAGGGGAATACTTTCTAATAGCTATTATAATAACTAAAGTAGTTTACTACTTAGACTTTTTATTATTTTATTATTTAAGCTTAATAAGGTTAGCTATAACTATAACTACCTATATAAGTATAGTTATAAAAGCTATAATAGTATTATTAGTTTATTTTAAAATAAAATAAAAGGCTATCTTAATAATAAAGAAGTTAAACTCTTTATTAAGACTATTAATAAAAAGATATACTATTAAAGCCTTAAGGACTTTAAAGTCTTTATTAAGAGATTATTACTTAACCTAAGTATTAATAAGTACTATAGTAAGTTTCTTAATAGATCTATATTAAGTAAAGGTTAATATTAAAAAATAGTTAGTTATAGTTTAAAAAATAATAGTACTTTTTAGTTTAAAATACTTTTTAAAGGCTATAATTATATTTAATATTATAACTTTATCTTTAATAAGGCTATAGGTATATTCTTTAAGGCTTATATTAATAAGAGTAATAGTATAAACCTAGTTCTATATCTATTTCTAGATAAGATTCTCTATAGTTTTACTACTATAAGCCTTAGTTAAGATAGAGTTATTTTCTTAGCCTTCTAATAGTAATCTACTAAGATTATTAAGTCCTAGTATATTAATTATCTTTAGCTTTTATTTAACCTAGTTACTTTTAAATTTAAGCTTTAGAATATTTAGTACTTCCTTTAGTATTAAAAATATAATACTAGATAATAAAGTAAGTAATAAGGTTATAAGAAAATCTTAGCTTATATATAAGAGTTAAGTTACTAATAGTATTACCTACTAAGGGAGTAGAACTTTAAAATAATAAGGAAGATAATAGGCTAAGTATATAATCTCTTTTTTTAAACTAAATACCTTATATTTATTTAAAGGTAAAAAGTATTTAAGTAAGTAATAGGGAATTCTTCTTACTAAGTAAGTAGTTACTATATACCTTTTATAATAATTAAGACTATAGATTATAGTAAGTAATCTAATAAGTATATCTATTTAAAGGCTATAACTATACTAAGTAAATTTATATTATAATATATATAAAATAAATATATAAAGTCTATATATAAATTACTAAGTAAGGTATAGTAGTAGAATTTCTTTTTCTTTATATAGAATTTTTATAGTAAATAGACTTATTAGATATACTCTAGATTAGCTAGAGTTTAAGGTCTTTCCTCTTCTTATATATAAGGAGTTATAAATTTCTTAAGTTTTATAATAAATATTAGCTTATATAGATAGTAGGTAAATTTAGTAAGAAATTAATATTTTCCTTTATTTTATTAGCAGCTTTTATAATATAAACACTACTAGGCTTATAACCTATTAGAACTAATAGGGTATATATAGGGTAAAAGGTAAAGTTATTATATTATATAACTTCTATCTAGTTATATAGTATAAGTAAGTGCTAGATATACTAGGTAATAGGAGATTATTCTTCTGGCTTTAGAGCTGCCTATTATTAAGAATATACTATATTAGTTAAGTTTTAATTAAATTCTAAATATTAAGAATATTATTAATATTATAACTAAACTACTATTAAAGCTAACTTTTTATAAGTATAGGTATTACCTAGAACTATACTAAGTACCTTCTAAGCTATAATTTTCTAGGGGTCTATTTTAAAAGTATTATATACTTCTAAGGCCTTTAGTCTTTAGGGTATTACCTATTAGAACTATTCTATAAGTATTATAGTTAATTAACTCTATACCTCTAAGGTATTACCCTTTATAAGTATTATAGTAAGCTTTTTATTAGTATTATTAATATTAGCCTTTAAGGTATTACCCTTTAAAGGCTAGCTAGCTTTTTATTAATACCTTTATTAGTATTAGCCTTTAAGGTATTACTTTTTAAAGGCTAATAAGCTCTTTATTTATTACTATCTTATTACTTCTAAGACTATTATAGGCTAACTAGTATTAAGCCTTTAAGGTATTACCTTTTAAAGGTATTATAATAAGCCTTCTATAGTTATAAGTTATAAAGTTTTATAGGTCTTATAGTTACTAAGGCTCTCTTTATAGCCTATTACTATCTTATTACTTCTAGAACTATTATAAGCTAATTAATACTAAGCCTTTAAGGTATTACCCTTTAAAGGTATTATAATAAGCCTTTTATAGTTATAAGTTATAAAGCTTTATAGGTCTTATAGTTATTAAGGCTTCTTTATAGCTTATTATTATTTTATTACTTTTAGGACTATTATAGGCTAACTAGTATTATACCTTTAAGGTATTACCCTCTAAAGGTATTATAGTAAGCCTTCTATAGTTATAAGTTATAAGGCTTTATAGGTCTTATAGCTACTAAGGCTTCCTTATAGTTATAATCTTATAAAAGCCTAAGCCTTTATAAGTTTACTACTATTCTATTACTCTTAGGACTATTATAGTTAATTAGTATATTTAGTACTAATATAGTATTAGTATAGTATTAGTATAGTATACTTAGTACTAGTATAGTATTAATATAATATACTTAGTATTAGTATAATACCTAGTATACCTTAGCTAGTAGTCCTTTATATATTCTATAGCCTTTAAGATAAGGTATCTTTATTAAATATAGTTTATAGTATAACTTTTATTTTCTATAAAATTTATTTATATAGGTTTTTAAGTTAAATTACCTTATAAGTAAAAAGTAGAAAATATAATAGTTATAAAGCCCCTAATATAATAATAAGGCCCCTTATATAACTATAAGCTACCCTATACTTAGTATAATTATAAGCTACCTTATACTTAGTATAACTATAAGCTACTTTATACCTAGAAGAAAAAGGTAACTTATATATACTAATAGGTACTATTATATCTATTAGTAAGTAGGAGAATTAGGCTACTATTATAGTATATTATAATAGCTATAGTAGTTACTACTTTTCCTTATAGTTATTATTTTATTCCTTATAGTTATTATTTTATTCTATTAGTTATTTTTCCTAGTTAATATAGATTAAATAGGAGTAATAATAGGCAGCCTAAAAGCTAGAAGAATAATCTCCTATTACCTAGTATATCTAGTACTTACCTATACTATATAATTAGATAGAAGTTATATAATATAATAACTTTACCTCTTACTCTATATATACCTTATTAGTCTTAATAAACTAATACTATACTTTTAAGGTATTACCCTTTAAAGGTATTATAATAAGCCTTTTATAACTATAAGTTATAAAGCTTTATAAGTCTTATAACTACTAAGGCTTCCTTATAGCTATAATCTTATAAAAGCCTAAGCCTTTATAAGTCTATTATTATTCTATTACTCTTAAGACTATTATAGTTAATTAGTATACTTAGTATTAATATAGTACTAGTATAGTATACTTAGTATTAATATAGTATTAGTATAATACTAGTATAGTATACTTAGTATTAGTATAATACTAGTATAGTACTAGTATAGTATACTTAGTACTAGTATAATACTAGTATAGTATATTTAGTATTAATATAGTGCCTAGTATACTTTAACTAGTAGTTCTTTATATATCCTATAGTTTTTAGAATAAGATGCCTTTATTAAATATAGTTTATAATATAACTTTTATTTTTTATAAAATTTATTTATATAGGTTTTTAAGTTAAATTACTTTATAAATAAAAAGTAGAAAATATAATAGTTATAAAGCCCCCTATATAATAGTAAAGCCCTTTATATAGTAGTAAGCTACCCTATACCTAATATAATTATAAGTTACTTTATATTTAATATAATTATAAACTACTTTATACTTAAAAGAAAAAGGTAACTTAGGTATACTAATAAGTACTATTATATCTATTAGTAAGTAGGAGAATTAGGCTACTATTATAGTATATTATAGTAGCTATAATAGTTACTATTTTTCTTTATAGTTA